TGGCGTGTGAGTGACGGTGAAAAGGTGGAGGCGCGGCCGGCATCTTGCGGTGTCCCTCAAAAAACCTAATCTTTTCCCGGCCCACCCTTAGCGACTCCTGCGCATACACAAAGCAATACAACAGGAAAAAGATGATGCACAGCACACTCACCATACGCTGCGAATCACAATGCACGACCCAGCCATTCCGTCCGAACGCTCCAACAAACAGAAAAAACACACAAAACAAACCCCGTGAAGTGAAGCCAAAGCGTGGGGCACCCACCGAGCAGTGGGGACGCGCAGCAGCAAGTGGGCCGACCTGCACACACACACACTCCCTCCCTTACCGTGCAGCCCAATCCAGGAAGAAGAAGGGAGAAAGAAAGGCCGCCCACCGAAAGCAATCAAAACCAAAACAATTGAAATGATTAAAGCAGTTACGGTGCTGTACCCATGCAGCCAAGCAGAACGGCAGCGGCCCCTCAAAAGCAAAATAATTAAAACAAAAAGGAAGGCCAACGGCCTGCATGAGTGGATGTGTATGCATGAGCACATTACGTGTGTGCCTCGTGGGGTGGGGCGAGGGCGAGAGTCCGTGCAGGAGGGCACACACAAAAAGAGAGAAATATATATATATTTAAGCGAAGGACGAGCTGCGCACCGCTCCCTCACGCCGCCGTCATCGCAGCAGCCACCGCACACGCAAAAAGCAGAAGAAGCGCAAAGGGGGAGGTGCAGTGCGAGGCCGCTGTGCCACTGTCACTGTCCCCATGCGTCACCTTCGTCGCATTATTGGTGTTGGAGGCGGCTGGCGGTGTTGCGGGATTATTTGTTTTGGTAGCGGCCGCTGCAGGTGGTGCTGAGGCTTCACTGTCTGCAGGTGCACGAGTTGCATCGAACTCCGTGGTGTCTTCGGCTCCCTTCTCAGTTGGAGGTCCAGTCAGACTGCTGGTAGCACCATCATCATGTGCAGGGAAAGATGGTAATGTTGTTTGCACTGCATTTCCGGAAGGTGCATTGTGCGTGGGGTTTGATATGCCTGCAGCTTCTTGTTCCTCATCTTGAGATTCTTCTTTCGGTGAAGCGTCGTCCGGTTTCTTCTTATCTTTGCTTTCCTTCTTTCCCCCATTCATCGTTGTCGTCTGCTGAACTTTGCGAGATGGTGTGGGGCTTGTCGTCGCCGGTGCTGCTTGTGTCCGTAATGATGGATCCGATGCTGCTTGTCCCACATTAGTTTCTGGTGCCTGCAGCACTGGTGTTGTCTCAACAGAGTTTGATGATTCCATCAAGCTTCCAACTGGAGCTTCACTTCCTCCTCCTCCAGTAGAAGTAGCTGAGTGTGGTAGGGCTGGTTGAGAGTTTGGCAGTGAAGTTTTCTGTTTTACTTCTTTCTGCAATGTTGGCTGCAGCAGTTTCTGTGTATCCGAATTTCCATTTTTTTCTCCTTCTAAACCTTTGACGACATCTGCATTATTTTGCAAATCCTCCTTCCCACTTCTGTCGACGACTGTTTTTAATGTGTCACTCCCACCCGATTCGCCGTTTTTCACTGAATCCTTCGAGACATCTGTGGAAGTATTTGCCGGTGGAACAGGTGTTTGTAGCGTTTGTGGTCCTTTGGAGTCTGGCTCCTGCGGACCCTCCTGCTGTTGATCTTGTGAGCTTTCGTTGGCAGGGTCAGCATCACTTGCTTTTTCATCTTTTTCTTTCTTTGTTGGTTCCTCAGCATTGCCTTTGGGGCCAACTGACTGCAAACTACCATCCTGCACCTGGGTGGGACCGTGCGGCTGCACTACTTTTTGAGACCCAACCGCTTGAGAAGATCCTGCCTGTCCTTCGCCAGGAGTTCCAACTCCACCTTCCGGAACTTGAATGGTGTTACTCCTGTCACCACCAGTTACTTCCTCATCAGAATCTTCACCGTTTGACTGCAGACTCGCCCGCAGCCGCTGCACAAACTCCGGCTTGCGGCCGCAGTACTGCCCGTCAATCTCCGCCTCCGTCATGTCCCTCGCGACCGCCCTCAAGTCCCTCCAGTCACTCTCCGTGCAGTGGCCGCCACCCCACGCACCGACACCGCCGCCGCAGCAGCACAGCACGCAGAGGGCACACACCAACAGCACACGGCCAGCCATCCCCACTCTTGTCACCGCAGCAAACACACACACACACGCACAGTCTAGCGAGGGGCAGAGAGAAGTGAGGAGGGTGAGAAGTGGAACACACAAAAACACTAAGAGATGGCAATGACAGACAAACCACTGGAAGCCGCACGTCACACGCACCGCAGCAGCCGCACCATCGCCACTCGCACACCTCATTTATTGTCCGCCCACTCCAAAATACGCACCCACCGTGCAAGGGCGAAAGACACGCGGAGGAGAAGCCGGCCGCACAGCGCACCCACACACCCGCAACGCGAAGGACGGGGCGAATCCACGTCCACCGCACAGTCTGCCGCTGCCGCACATTTGCCCTCACCGATCCGCATCACGC